GGCCTTTGCGGCCCGCCCAGCGAGGAGCTAATTGAAATAAACTGCATTAATGACATGCTGTATGTCCTTACGAGCATCACTCTCTAATGCCCTCATGTTTATGATTATGGTGGGATATTGATTTCAACACTTGAAAAAAGATATGCATTTTATCAAACCATCCAAACAGCTCCCGCTCTCTCCTGGTGGCTTGTTTATAGCCAAAACCATCTCGATCGTAAACACCAAAAATTCCCACTGCAGTTTGAAGAAGATCAACAACAAATAGTCCTTTTTGCTCCTCTTGTGCGCCCGAGAGGGAGAAACTTCCCCCGAAACGTTGGGCTGCCGGCTGAAGTCTGGGCAGGTCCTGGACCGGTGTTCTTCATCAATATGACAGCGATCACAAAGAGGCTGGCCCACTGAAGCCTCCAAAGCCAAACTTCACACAGAGAAGAGGAGCCAGCTCCACTTCAGTGGAGGACATGAAGAGATGGAGGGCTTTTCTGGATTACCCTGATCCCTGCTTTGCCGGTACTCGAAAACGAGAGCGTCTGAGCAGAATCCAGTTCTGGTAGAGTTGAATCTTTTCATCTGCTCAGCAAAAACACCAAAATCTTAAGTAGATTTGGTCTAGATTCTAGCACGAATATCTTGAAGTAAGACAATAACTTAAAAGTAACTTTTCAGCACACTGACCTTGTTTCAAAAGTGAGCCGCTATGCTTCCTTGAAAAGATTAGAATACGTCTATATTCTAAGAAAAATTCTATGTTCATTACATTTTTTACACAAAATCCTTCTTAGATAATGAGATTTTACCTGCTCAGTTCTGCATATTTTGGGGATGTTTTAGGGTTCTGCCCCTTTTATGCTAATAAGTTCTCCTGGCCACACCCCCCAACTCAACATTTACACTTGAAAATGGCTAGCTGTGCAAATATTACCAACCAAACTCTTGTCTTGAACAGTAGCCATTGTAGCGCACGTACAGAGGTAAAACCAGCTAACCAAACATGCTCAATGACTAATAATGAAGTGGGTTGGGTTGCTTGGTAACGGGCGGTGCCCGCTCATTGTGACATCATGTTCAGGAGGTTTTTGAAATGGGTCGTTTTTCAAACACCAAAAAAACATTAAATTATTGCCTTAAAAGAACTGGATGTTTATCAAAGTGCTTGAAATTCAGAAGCAATAGAAACCAGGAAAAATTCCCACTGCAGTTCAAATCAATAATTCCTTAATATTGATGAAAACGTTTTAGGCAAGTCATTTTATCCATGTTGTAGGTAAAATAATCTGCAAGTGGAGCTAGAACTATTTTATCAATATTAAGGGATTACGGCTTAAAACAAACTCTTATTTCTTACTGAAAAGTTACTTGTAAGTTAGTATTGTCTTATTTCAAGTGTACTAAGATATTTGAACTATAAACTAGGCAAAAATACTTGTTATAATTTGTGTTGTTGCCGTGTGATTACAGATCTCTGATATGCTCACTGCATTTATTGCACCATTTCGAATAAAAATGTGCTGCGTCCTTAAATTACACCAGTCCGCTCTGTCTCCCTGCTTGCATTCAGTGCATGTATGGATGCATCTTAAGGATGAGGAGGTGCTCCTGCAGCGGGGAGAGCAGGGAAGGGAGACTCGCAGGCACATGTTGAAAGGCATGGCTGCTCTTTAATGTGCCTCCAGCTCGGGATTTTGGGCCTAATGAGGTGCTGTGGAGCTCTGCTCTTCCATCTCCCATCGCCTACACCAACAGCCCACGTACTGCCACTGCTGCACCGTTCAGGATCATTAAGGAGAAGCACCCAAATTCCTCTAGGGACCTTGGAAGATGGGAAAAACATCCAAAACAGGTCTTCAGATTGGAGTTTGAGTGAGAAGAGAACGAGGAGCCACGTTGCTAAACCAGCACACAGATAAGTTAGAATGGAGAGACAGAAAATCTGACAAAACCAACAAAAACCAAAAGTTAAAACTGATTCATGAGCTAGGAATCTAATGTAGCTCTCAAAATCTGCTTGCTGCCGCTAATGCGCTAACAGTGGAGCTAATTTGTTGTTTTGTGCTTTATCATTTTTGAAAACGTTGAACACACCTAAGTTTTTTTTTTCACTTCTTCACATAAATTCTAAAGTGCTAATTTACTTGGTATTATATTACATCTTAATGTTGCTTACGTCTACTAAAAGCTTTTATCTTCCTTTATTTAAAAATACAACTCAGAAAGTTAATATATGCTGAAAAAGTTCAATATTTTTTGCCACTTCACTGGTGTATTCACATGTAGACAAGTTATAGTGAAATATTCAAACTAGGGCTGTCAAACAATAACAGTTCTTAATCTGGTAAATTACAGGGATAATGCCAATTAGTTATCTTCCCAAAATTAATTTTTATGTATAAATTCTAAGCCATTGAGTTGCATGGCTGTTTTGTAAGATTTGAGGTCAATAAAGTTTGACATTTGTGTTGAAGTTTGAGTTATTGACAGTTAATAATTCTTCAAGTTGTTTATTTTTATATGCCCCTAGTTCTGAACTGAACAGTTTAAAACCTACTGATGCGTGCTTTCGGACTGAAATGGTCAATTAGGCAAAATTAGAAGCAGAGTTTGCAAAACTCAATAACTATAAAACAAACTGTGAGTGAAAGATCTGTCCGGAGAATCAGTTCCTGGCTGGAACCTTGTTTAAATGTGTGATTTACATCTACACTGAAGAAAACCCAAACCCTGCAACAAACTGGCGACCCGTCCAAGGTGACCCCGCCTCTCGCCCGAAACGTTAGCGGTGCACCAGCACCTCTCGACCCCACTGGGGACAAGGTGTTGAGAAACGGATGGATGGATGGAAAAATAAATGGTGCAAACTATTTTCATCTAATTTTCTAGTGCAACCATCTGAATACACTTGCAATAAGAAAAAAAATAAACTACAAGTAACTTTTCAGCAAGATAAAAGAGCTGACTATAAGTGAATACTTCTAAGAGGTAAGAATTAGTGACTTAGTACAAGCTCTTTCATTTTGCTGCTAAGTTACTTGTAAATTAGTTTTATCTTATTTCAAGTAAATGTGCACTAAAAGGTAGATCAAAAAAACAGGGTAACATTTTGTGTTTTTGCAGAAATTGAGGAAAAATATGGATATTGAACAGATACTGCATTGTAATTGCTTTCCAAAGAAAAACGGGACAAATTTGAATAAATACAGTGATTCTGGATTTTTATATGATGATGAGATGGTTTAAAACTTTTGCACAGTGCTGTACCTGTAAAATCAGCTCCTCACTTCAGTTTTAGGCTCATTTTGTTTTCTGCAAATTATTTGTACAAACCGAGGATCTGTTGAAATGTCAAGTCAAGAAAAAGCGAGCAGTAAAACACATTTAGAGTTGTCAAATTTTGCTTTAAAACATATTTTTACCGTATAAATTATCCCAGCAGAAAAGAGATTAAACTGAATATTTAAACAGGGGTTATTTTTTTAATTTTACCACCAGTTTATGACAGCAGTTTGCTTCAAGCTGATCATCTTGGAGACAAAAAAAAAAAAAAAAAACAAATCCATGTGCCTGCATCATACATGTGTAGCATCAATTAAATGATGATTGCTCTGCTGAATGAGCCAAGAATCATCTCTGCATCTTAACTTCAAATTTTCCTAATAACAACCGCAGAGGCAACATCAAAGTGAGGCAATGTATGAAATTTTGGCGGCGTTATATTAATCAAGAGTGTGCCTTTATGTGCACGTCTGTACATGCATGTGATGCTGCGGCTGTTGTGTGACAGCGCTACACGGCCCTGCGAACAGGATGAATAATCCCCAGCACCATCAAAGGCTCCTCAGACGGGAGCTCAGGCCATGACAGCGGCGCGAACGCTGAATCTCCCAGCCTGTCTCGTACCCCCCGGGGACAGCAGAGGCCGAGGAGAAAGGGGAGAGAAATGGAAAAATGGGGAAAATGACAGGAGAAGAGGAAGAAGCAACACAGCCGATGGGGGAAATTGGAAAAAGAGGGAGAGAAAAGTGGAGAAAAAGCAAAAAAAGTAGAAGGGAGATGATGTTTGAGGGGAAGAGATAAAGTTAAATGGAGTCACTTTGAGTTTATTTAAGTGCTCCTGGTATAGTTTTCAACAGAGGACCTAAAAACTATACTCAAATATGACTTTAAATACTTCAACATATTTTACGCAAGTAAAAGTAAAAACCAGCTATCCTAAAAATTACTCAATTAAAAGTAAACTGACTAACTGATGAAATTACCATTTAATATTTAAAAATTACATGATCAGAGGGACCAAAGTATAAAGTTAAGTGGAAATTTAGGTATTTTAAGGACCAAAATGATAATAATTTATATAAGTAACAAAAAAATAATATTTTCCAAATCACTTACTTTCAATTAAAAAAAATTATGAAACTTTTGATTAAAACATGTTTGTTTTTCATTCAGTGGGTAGAAAATCCAGAAATTTTACTCAAGCAAGAGTAAAAATTCTTCATAATAAAATTACTCAAGTAAAAGTAAAAAGTACATTGCAGTAAAAATTCTCCTAAAAGTAATCCCCCCCAAAAAAGTTATTCAAGTAAATGTAACTATTTACAACCCAACTCTGGTTTACATTACTCGATCTGAGGGTAATGTCTCAACCTGCAGTTGCAGACACAGGCAGAAAAAAAGTGTATAAAAATAATTTGCTAAACTAAATTTTATTGTTTTCTTTTATGAGTTTGTTTACTACTGAATTAGCTGGAATTCAATGACATGTTGAGGAAAACCTGGTTTTTTATGATGCTTCATGTTTAACAAAGTGAAGGTATGATAACCTTGAGCTTCTATCATCACAACAGATTTCGATGACAGAGCCAACCTGAAGTAGCAGCTGCTCTAACCTGGTGAAAAACATACCATAGAATAATGTGACGTCACTTTTCCGTGAACTTTGTAACTGACAGCCATCTTGGCAGACAGTTGCTATGGGGTTGCTATGACAATAGTAAGCAAAC